AAAAAAAAAAAAAAAAAAAAAATTGTCAGATGTAGAATAAAGAAATTATAATATTAATAAATTTTAAAGTCACTGATTGCAAAAAAAAAAAAATAGCCTCGCATTTCTTTGATTATATCTAGTTATTAATAAAACATTACTATATTTATACTACGATATTTAATGGCTTATAAATAATAATTATATTAGATCTGATCAAAAATAAACGCATGACATAAATATGCTAGATAATGTGGAATTAAAAAAAAAAAAAAAAAAACCTAGCAACTAAAAACTTTTGTATTTTCATAACTAATAATGTGTTTCAACACATATTATATTTGTAATAAAAAAATTCAGAATTTTATTCCAACATTACGTTTATAATAATTTCTAATAAAATATTACGAAATTTGAACAGGCTCTTCGAAAAGTTTGATTTTATAATTTAAATAACTCTAGATAGAATGTTTTTTATCTTGATACTAACAGGATGATTGTTCACTCGCAATGAAAATAATTATACACGAATTTTTTTTTTGAGGTACTAGTAAAAATAACGTTTTGTTAAACCCTCAAAACAATATCATGAGAACGCTTCTGATTACAGTACAGTCCATAGTAATCTAGGGTTATAAGGAACAGGTAATATTTTCTTTGAACATACATAATATCTTTAATAAATCTGTTTCTATTAAATAACATACATTTTATGTATTGTGTAAAATCAGGTGGACAACAGATAATAGCTAAAAAAAAAGTCAGACTTATAAAGCGAGTACCAAGTCATAATTCTAACCTTTGTATATTTTAACTTGTATGATGAGTTTCAGATGGATAAAAGTCGAATTATGTATATAAAATTAGTACTTTAAATATTTTAAGTTCACATTTATATAAAATTGTTTATTTTTGTCACACATAATAATCTAAATATTTAAAAAATTTAATTATCTATAACTTAGAAATCAGTAAAATATTGTTAATATTTACTTGTTTAACTCTATATTTGTTTAATTCCTATAGTTGGGTTGAGTTGTACAATGATTATTGTTTCGTATAAATGTAGTAACTAAATTATACTAATATTCAACTTCAATCAAACCTATATACTTTATAGACTTCACAAGCTTATAAATGTAAAAGTTTTCCTATAGTAAAATAAAAGCATTTTTCTTTTAACATCAAAGTGATTAACTATATCAATTAGCAATTTGCCAGAGCTAATTTTGTATAATTAGTTTTTAACAGACCAAATTTATAGTTTGTAATTCATAGATAAGGCATAGTAATTAAAGTCAATTATATTTCTTTCAGCTAAACACACATGTATAAGAACAAGTTACTTAGCTTAAACAAAAGTGTACATACAATCTATCCTATTTCTTCCTTTATAAATATACAGAAAAAATATCTATCATTTTATAGCTGATTAAAGCACACAGAAACTATGACATTGGCAATTATTAATAAAGTCACATTTCGTTAGTATGTTTATACATTTTTAGTCATTGTCAAAATAAAAATATGTATCTCCAAAAAGTTTTTTTTTAATAGTTGCATAAGTGTTGTTATAAATTTTAATTTATTTTGAATCACAACCATGATATACTTATGGTCTACCATACTATGCCTCACAACTTTTTAAAATTAGTGATATCATATATGTAATTTTTTTATTTGTTATAAATCTTTGTTGAGTTACTTAAAAAGAAAACTAAAGATTCCATCTTTACCATCCCTGAACCCTTAAATCAATATCAACTTTAGTTTTTCAAATAGCAATCCAATTTTTTTTTTTATTAATCATGTTTAGCATAAAAAAAAATTTCTCGAAAAAAAAATTGATTTTAATAAATTCTAAATGAGATATCACTATTTAAAGTTTAGGAGATTTAACAAATAAAACAGTAGTTTGTTAAATACAGTAACATACATATTTATTATATTGTAACGTGAAAAACTGAGGTACGCTTGCTCCTCTCTAACATGAGTAATACTCACGTCCCTTAAACTTTAATGAATCATACCGTGCTGATAACTGAATAAAACAAAAATTTTTTTTTTAAAACTAAATCTAATCTGATTATATAAAAAAAATAGGGTTACTATTTGAAAATGGAATGTTGATACTGATTTAAAGCATAAGGGATGATCATAAAAATGTAATTTTACTCACTGAGCAGCCCAAGACACATAAAAAAAAGATAACTCTTATATTTTCAGAGATAATATGTTAGGTATAGTTAATGAATCACCCTGTAAATTTTTTTGTGAACATATACCCTTCAATATAAATAGTATATAGGTATGATTATTCTAGAATATACATTAATTAAAAACATTGTTAGTCGGTATATACCCCAAAATGCCACTGTTTATAGTATTTCTATGATTATTGTAATTTTAGGAATCTGAATGAAGGTGTAATAAAACTATAATCTATATACTATTGCTTTATAAATAAATATAAATAATCTTTAAAATAAGCAAAAACTATTATTTTGAATGGTCATCAGAATGCTAAAATATGTGATTATTCAAACTCTAAATCATAGATTTCAATAATTTTTTTAATTATTAAGACATAAAATTAAAATTAATTATTCATTAGTATTTAAACAAATAAATACCTTTGGGTATCATGAAATTGTAACAGAATGTAAGGCTAAAGCTTCACCAAAATTCTCATCTCCATATGCTGTGCAATATTGGATGGCTTAATAAATAACACTAACATTTTCAAAAAATATAACTAAATAATAACAGTATGCGACGTTTATAGAACTATACAATTATTTAGCTAGAATACTTCGATTAATTAATAAAATAATACAGTTGAAAATTAATACTGTAAAAAAATAAAAAAAATTATGGATAAAACACAGAATACTAGATTTCACTCATTAAATTATTTAAATATTAACTAAACCTATGATGCCGCCACCGCAGTAGTAGATGATCAACATATGTTTGTGATCATCATTTAAATGACTTAAAAAAAAAAAAAAACAAAAGAGATCCAAAACTACTACGACGACGGCAATTATGCAGCAATAACAACAGACATTTCACCTGTGTAGGATGTTATGACTTGTATTACCTGTAATTCACCTGTATTTTTTGTTTACACCTTTCATTTTACAGTGTGTGTGAATACTAAAATAAAATATATTTTCAATCTACTGTTGGTGAACATTAAAATACAGATGATTCATATTTTACATTTCTTATGTACTCGATAGCGGTCAGACTGAATGTTATCAATTTGATAACTCCCAATGTTTTTATGTAAATTATTGAATAAGATAATATATAGATAATATAAAACTTATCTGTAATATAATCATATTACATGTTACATAATTTTTTACTATATACTGAAGTAAAATTTTATTTAAATTTGAAATTTTCCGTTTAATTAATTTTTATGTACAGCTTGGCTGTAAATTGGTTATCAATGACCAATTTTGTTGGTGTTCATTATAAAATGTAAAAAATTTTTATTAGTTAAAATAATTTTTTAACTGTTCTCAACTATACATTATTCTTAATCATCATTACTCTACAAATGTAAGTTTCTATATTTGTATACAGCCAATTTTTTTTTGTATTATAAGTGATTTGTAAAGTTTATTATAAAAATTAAATGTCATTAAAAAATAGATAATCCAAACAAAATTTCTTGCAATCTAACATAACATTTACCGTCCTTAAAAATATTTCTATATAAATTTTCATGTAAATTTTGGGAGGGCTGTGACAAAATTAAAGAGAACAAGTTCCTTCTAGACCTTCCTAATTATGCCTAAAATAATGATGAAACTTAAAAATAAAAAAGTTTGAATATTAAAAATTAATATTTTTAGGAAATTAATCAATTTAATGATTTAATGAAAAATTGAAATTTTAAAATTTGGAAAATAAAGAATTAACAAAAATTTTACATGAAAATAATTTAAGGTATTAAAATTAATCAAGATATTGGATCTTAAAAAGATTCATGTCATAATTATTTCATTATTTAAATAGAATGAATTCTTTTATTTTTTGTGAAATGATGTAGGATACTCTAGTACATATTCCAAAACATGTAATCTAAACTAATTTAATATTTTTTTTTTTTTATTGGTCTTTTCCTATCTTTTTGCTTAGATAAATATGTTTTATATATTGTCATTAATAGTCCTTAGCTAGAAAAATAATTGATTATTAATAATTATTTATATTTTCTTTTTTGTTTTAAGTATGGTCGAGGTTTCAATAGAGCCTATTTTATCAACTTCAGCTGAAGAGAAGTCACTGTTGATTGATAATATTAATTTAGATGCCATTGAAGATTTAAACGGGTTTTTAAAAAAAAACCCTGTATTTTATAATGTTTTTAAATGTTTAAGATGTGATCTGACATTTAATACAGATAAAGAGTTTCACGATTGTCAACCTCTACCCTTAAATATTAATAAGCAAACAAAATTAAAAAGAGTATTTAAGTGTTCGATTTGTGACAAACACTATAATTTTCCCTCTTTGGCTATTGTTCATTTGCAACGTCATCAAAAACAAAATGCTAAAAAGTTAGTCTGTGCTTGTAATATTTGCTGTAAAAAATTTAATACTTCTAAAGAATTAAAAGATCACAATGAAAAAGAACATAATATCATTCAATATCAGTGCAATATCTGTGATAAACTCTTTAAACAAGCTAGAAATCTTCAATATCATAAAATGAGCCATTCAGGAGATAAACCATTTCATTGTGAACGTTGTGGACATAAGTTTTCAAGAGCCGATCATTTAAATCGACATAAAAGAGATAATTGTGACCAAATTGAATTTGAGTGTGACTTATGTGGCAAAGTTTATAATACAAAAAGAGGTTTCAATATTTTATTTTATCATTCCTATTTAAGTTTTATCAATAATTATCTTATTTTACAGGAATAAGAACACATTTAAAAGTTCATTATGATAGTCCAAAACCTGGAACAGTTTGGGCTCTATACACAGAATCAGGTGAAAAATATTATGAATGCACATTGTGTAATAAAATACTTACACAGTTTTCAAGATTCAAAGAACATATCCGAACTCATACTGGAGAAAAACCTTTTGAATGTAAAATATGTAGTAAAAAATTCACATGTCAGTATAAATTAAAACTGCATGGTGATGTTCATACAAGTGACCGACCTTATAAGTGTGATCATTGTGAGTTGCAGTTCAAAAATCGCCGCTATTTGAACAAACATATGCACAAACATAGTAAACAAAAACGTTACCAATGTCAAATTTGTGATAAAGAATTTCAATGGTACAATAGTTTAAAATATCATTTAGATTCTCATACTGGTGACAAGCCATATGCTTGTGTTGAGTGTGATAAATCTTTTACACACCTTAGCACACTCATAACTCATCAACGTACTCATAGCGGAGAAAAAAACTTTGAGTGTAACATTTGCAATAGAAAATTTGCTCAACAAAGCACTTTAAAAAACCACCTTGTAACTCATAGTGAAGATAAACCTTATAAATGCCACTTATGTCCTGTACAGGTATTCTTTAAGCTTATTTAAATCAGTAATATGTATATTTTTTATTTCACTTATTATTATAAAAAATTCTCTTTAGGTTGGTAGCTGTGCATCTTTAAAAACCCATTTAAATACTCATGGTGGAGATTATCAATGCAATATCTGTGGTGGTACGTTTATTCAGTTTTCTATCCTAAGGTCTCATGAACGTAAGATTCATGGAAAAAAAGATTTTTATGACTGTGAAATTTGTGAAGAAAAATTTAACTCAAAACTTCAAATGAAAGAACATCTTAGAATATCTCATAATATTAGTATTACTATAACAACAATTAGTTAAAAAATAAATTGTTTAAATTTATGATTTTTTTTTCTCAGATAGATCTTAATAATTAAAGATGTATGAAAGTATTTTAAAATCAAATAAAATTTTATAGGTGTTGTAAACTATACAAAAAAATTTGAACTATTCTATAAATCTACTTAATAAATTAATTGCAATTTGTGTATACAATACTTCATTTGTTCAAATAAGGTATACATACAAATTTATTTGAATAAATAATAAATTACAAAATGAAAATATCTTTTATATTTTATATTTTAAAACAGAGTTTTAATTATATACATTATAGGTTATATTTGAATGCATAATGTTAACAATTATTTTTTTTTGGTATAAATTATTTTACAATTTGTAAATGATGTTTGAAATTACCCAAAAGATTATTATTTTATAATAATATATATTATACATCTACTATTATTATATATTTATCTTATACTCTTAAAAACATTTGCATCATAATCCCCTACAGGAACAACACATTCTTTGCTGAAATATGTACCTAAGAATGTATCTTAGAAACATAATTGAAGTGTGTAGTTTTAATAACAGTTAAAACATCATTTTCTTAAAAATTTTTTTTTGTATTTTCATAAAATTTGGTTTGTATTGCAATGTTTGCAAAAATATTTAATTACTAACAAAATTATAACTAGTCATAGAAAATTATTTTTCTTACATAATCCTTTTTAAATCTTTTTTTGGTTCATAAAAATATTTAAAAGTTTGAAGTATAAGTTATATTTAGCTGATTTAAAAACTGCATGCATCAATTAGAAAAACGCATTTAAATTTAAACACACGTCAAAAAGTAATAAGAATTTTATATATTTAAAAATTAATGTTGAAACACAAATTCAAAATTAAATACTTTTTTTTTAATAATATACACGTTTGTGCAAAAACTTGATATTTATTAGAAAAATTATGATTTTTTAATTTATAAATCTATATCTGCTACATGAGCTCGACAATTAACCATATTAATTTAATCTGACATTCTCTGACCCCTACAAAGGATGTGTTATGTTTAAAAGTAAATTTATAACTAATAGGACGTAATAAAATATTTAGCAGTGAATTTATGAATAAAGGCTTAAATTTTGTTGAAATAATGGCTAAATATTAAAAGTTAAATATAATAATATAATAAATTATAAACAAAAATATTCTATGGTTTTTGAAAAATGAGTAGAGTAAGATGAAGAATTCAGTATTTATCAAAATAAATCATACATAACAACACATCCTTATTAGCATAAAAGTCTTATACAATATATTTTGTTACCCACTAATGCACGAGCGCTCACGTTAATTTTAGTTGTGATTAGAAATTTATATTTACCATATTTTATGTAATTTTTGAACATCAAGACTTGACATTATTATATTAAGAAAATTTGTTCAAATTTCTCTCTTAAATATTATAAAAGTATTATTCAATTTAATTCATTAGGACCCATTTATTTTACAACCATTTTCGTCATCTTTCCCATAATTATAGAAAGACAAAAAAAATTACAATTTTCAGGACACTTCATATTTTGCTCCTTAGAAGATTAAAAATATGATTGAAAATATTTGTAGAATTAGTCTAGACACTGAAGTAGTTCCCATTCAAATTTCAGATTTGAAATCCATTCACAGAAGTCTGGAAAAATCACAAAAGTTTAACCTTGTTATCTTACCTCACCATAACCTATTTTATACTTATTCGTTCACTCTGTATAAATCAGGATTGTTATATTTTAAACACAAAATGTTGAAAAAACCAAAATGTCCAAAATTGACACTAGTCTTATAAAACGTTTTAAGTTGTTTATTTGTGTTTTAAACAGGTTTTTATTAAAAAAAATCTGTTTTTAATAACCCTGGTATAAATTTATAAATATCAGTGTTTGAAAGACAGTACAAGTAAAGTTATATAACATGACTCCTGGAATAAAAGACGTATTTAAGAATTTCTCATAGGTAGAAGGATATGGTAATATCCTGAATATAAAGTTCACTTTAGAAGCTTCACTTCATCAACCCAGTTAAAATTTTTTTATAAAAATGAGAGAGGTCCATACCTTTAGATCTCCATAAGCACACTATTCTTCAAAAATTTACGTATATTCAATAATTATCACTAAATAACTTTAAACGAAGAAAAATGAATATCACAAAAAAATCGCATATTCAAAAATAAAACAGTTTGGTTGTTAATTATACCTCTTTTTCTTAATGTCCTGAAAATTAAATAATAGAGTGCCCGTATTGTAAAGTGATAATTGTCTTCCATGGTAACATCATTATTGAAGTCAAAAGGAGACTTTAAGGTCCTCAAATTGAGAAAGTTAATACATAAAAAAATCCGATGCTTGTAAGTATTTTTATGAGAAAATATTTGCCAGGGAACCATTAAGGGAAGATAAGGATGAGTTGAGTATACGAAGATGATGATGAGGTTGAGCTGTATTTACGTACATGTGATCACACAATAGTCACTGTGCTCCGTTTACACTCCTGATTAAGTATGGGTGTCAAAGTCCGTTGTCATAGAAAGGAAATAAGGGTAACAACTAGATATGAGGTGCAGACAAAGTGGAAAACAAAAATACCAAGTGTACTAGGTAAGGAATATAACAAAGTACGAGGTGCAAGACATAGGTACTATTAAATGTAGAGGACGAAAGAAAATTTAAAGGACGTTTAAAGGAATGAACTAACTCTTACCTTGATACAGAAGGCCGGACAACCAAGTACTGAGGCTGATGAATAACACGTATGTAGCATAAAGCTACGTAGTTGAGTCGTCTGACCACGATGGTTAGGTTTTTTTGTTTTAGTGTTAGATTGTTTACTACGTTCGCAATAATAATTTTTTATTGTCAATTCATCAGTCGCTAGTAGTGATAGTGCAAATTAGGGTTGGAATGACTTTGCTCTTCCAAAATTTCAAAAAATTATATGTAATATTAAAAAAAAATAATTTTAGACGGGTAATTAGATATAATAAGCCACTCCAAAAATGTTGAAATTGCGCCTACTATTTGGCTCAAATATTTCTCTATTCTCCAAAATTATTTTTTAAAAAACATTACTTCAACTACTCTGGTTATTTGGGGTTCAGAAAAGAGCTGTAATAAGGGAAAAATAGAAGTTCTTCAATATATCTGCCTTAGACATAACTGGTGTGCCTTGGTTTCTATTATGTTACTACAGTTGACTTCAACATAAATTTAACTGACACTACAGCAAATTTACATTACATTCAATTCCAAAAAAATTAAATTTCAACCCCAATCAAATCATATAAGAATTAGGTTCTAATACCTTACTTGTTAATTCAGTGATACAAACTGATGCCGAAAACTTGTATGTACATGAAATAATAAATTATTTTCATTGTTACATTGTCAAAATGAACTACTCATAGACTTTTTATATATCTAATATTTTAATAATAACTAAATATTAAAAAAAACTTAATCAGTAGGCGACTCTAATGGGAACTAATCTTAAGTCAATAACTCATTGTTAACTTACTGTGAAAATTTGTACAGATTATAAAATAATGAAAAAACAATTGTGCCTATGCCTACCAGAAAGGAGAAAGTTTTAATAAGCCAATAAAATATTATGTTCAAACCAGAACGTCCATGGTTTTAACTAAACTACAGATAAAACTCTTAGTTATAATTTATTAGTTATAGATTGACTTGGGTTTTAATATAATGATTGAATCATTAAATTTAGATTTAAATAAAAAAATTTTAATGTAGAATAACAGTGAGAATTATGGTAAAATAATTAGAAAGTGTTTAAAAAATCAGAATTATTTATATAACATCGAACGTGTAAAATTTTATGAAGTACAGCTTAGATCGGTAAGACACATTTGAGTTATGTTATCTATAAAGAACTATAAATTAATATCTATATTGAATACTTAGCATATATTAATATTACATAAAATGAAGTGGCCTCGAAATTTAAACCGACAGCGGATCCATTCATTTGAATATTGTAGTTTGATATGTACAGCAACGAAACCTATGAAAAACGTGGGGGAACTTTCAAATACATATAGAATATTAAACATTTAGCTTAACACTACTTATTAGACCAGTGAACAAAATAGTACATATAACTTTGATATTACTAAAATATATATAAAAAAACAAATGTTTATAATTAAGATTAGAAATACAATAACAAACGAATTGAAATAATACTGTCTAATTTAATCTAATTTTATTTTAACTTCTTTATTGGAATAAAACTATTTTTCTAATAAAAATGTCAAAGGTTTTAACATTAATTAAAGAGACATTTAAAAAATATCCCATGTTGGCTAATTCAACTGTTTACGGAACAATGTGTGTTGGAGCTGAATTGTCTCAACAAATCATTACTAAAAGAATATTGGTAAAGTATAATTTTAACATCGATTTAAATAATTGAAAATAAAATAATAAGTCTTTGTATCTGATGCACAACGAAAAATTATTTAAGAATAAGACAGAACCTCCAAAACCCATAGATAAAGAAGTTTTGGGTCGTTATGCAGTAATTGGCACATTAATTAGTCCTAACATTTTATATTTCTGGTAAATGCTATATTTTCAAAAGAATATGTTACATTTTAAGTAACAGGTATTAATTGGTTAACAATATTTAGGTATAAGTGGTTGGACAAAGCATTTGTGGGTACAGCACCAAAAATTATTGTAAAAAAAATGCTTTTGGATCAATTCCTTATGACTCCACCTCTATATGTTATTTTTTATGTTAGTAAGTATAAATTTTACTATATTTCTTCAACCAAAAAATTTTTTTTAACGATTTTTCTTTAAAGGCATGAGTTTAATGGAGGGTAAAAAAGATCTATTAGAAGAATGTAGACAAAAATTCATTCCAACATTCAAAACCAGCTGTGTGTTTTGGTTACCTGCACAAGCCATTAACTTTTTAATGGTTCCACCGCCTGCTAGAGTTATTTATGTGGGAACCTGTTCATTTATTTGGATTAACATGCTATGTTGGATTAAAAGAAATGACTACAACACTGTGAAAGAGCAATGATTCTTTATTATACAAAAGAAAATATAGAATACTTTATGTGACACACAAGTTTGCTACATGACTTCATAGTTCATACTTACAGTTTAATACACAAGACTGTTTCAATATTAATATTACATAAAAATAAATAGCACTTTAAAAAAAATTAAATAATTAGGTAAGTGACTTACCTAGTTTAGCTAGTTACATGTTGTGATTTAGTACAAAGTGTTCAATCCCTCTACACAGGGCTAAGTAGGTTTTTCTGTTTTTTTAAGCACAGGCAATAGCTATTAGAAGACGTTAAACAAATATAAATAACATAAAATTTTTGTTTTAAAACATAGAAGTAAACATGACTTTTATTATATACACATTGTACTAATTAATATTTACATTTTCACATAATTAATTTTATTTTATTTTGATTTTCTAAAAATTTTAATAAACTTATACAACTCTGTTTGTACATATTAATTTTATTAATAGAGTATTTATCTTTTTCATCTTGTTTTGCAGCTTCAACCATTTTTTTTGCAGAATCTTCATCATTAGGTTTTAAAGAAATAATTGAGAATTCTAGTTGCATGAATCTAAACAAATTTATTTAATATAATTACTATGATAAACATAATTATAATTCAAATATTTAATAATATATATAATATTATACTATTTACTTACAAACAATGCAGAATCACCCAACATTCTTCTAACCATAATGTATGATCACGTACTGTATGTTTAATTTCCATATGATTTTCAAAAGATATATGCTCAAGCTTGAGATTAATGTTATCTAACTTTTTTTTCAAACATTCATTAATTTGATAAAAACGATTCCTATTGAAAATTTGAACAAAAAATATTAATTGATATATAAAAGGATAACTTTTGTTAGAGAGCATCTTATGTGACATAATGTATTTTTTTCAAAGTTTTTATTTTATTAAATAAATCTTAAAATATAGATTATCACAATTTTTTTTTCAATACACAGAATTTATGTGATTTTGAAACATCCGTATAAAAACATATCCAGTGAAATAATTTCAATTTAAACTATATCTACTAAAATAAAAAAAAATATTCTAAAACCCATAAATTTATAAAGAATTTATAATTTATATGAAAAAAAAAATGCTTAATTCAAGGACTTTAGGCCTATAAATAAGCCATTGTTTATGGGTCACCAGTTAGAGTTTTACAGTATTTCTTCTTAAATAAACATTTTAACAACTGCAAATACACTAAATTTCAGTAATTAATAAACATGTTAAAGTCAAAGTGAGAAAATGAGCATTTTGCAATGCCTGGGTAGTGCATATATTACCTTTTTTTTTATTTTTTAACTTTCAGTGTAGTATTATTATAGTTTGATAATTATCTTTTATCACTGTTGCTATTTTTAAAGAGCTGATTGAAGAAATGGTGTATCAAGTTTTGAAGATAAATGAGAATAATTTCTAAGACTATTAAGTATAAAGAATAATGTTATTACAAAGTATATTACACTTTTTAAATTTTTAAAAAATTTTCTAATATAAACTGGTCATTGTATAACAATTATAACTTAGTTTTGTAAAAATGCCCAGACTAAATATATTATTTGAAATTGAAATAAATAAAACTAAGTATATAAAATTTGGACTGATTATATCAGCAGTATATCTAGAATTTTATCCTAGGTAANTGAAATTGAAATAAATAAAACTGAGTATATAAAATTTGGACTGATTATATCAGCAGTATATCTAGAATTTTATCCTAGGTAATGGAAATACATCTTACTTAAGTATCATGATCATAAAAAAAACATATAAGTGCTATATGCATTTTTATTAATTATTAGATATTGGTATCAACAGATTAATGATAATGTAATTTATTTAATAGTATTATTATCTAAAAATTAAATAAAAAAGGATGTCAATGTTGTCAGGTTCAAATTTCAAAGGAACCTCACAGTATTCTAATTTATGAAAAACCTGATCAAAATTCTATTTTTTTTATTCTACTTTAGGTAAGCTATAGTTACTAAACATTTTTTTTAATATCAGAATTTCAAAAAGTTATACATTTTTGGCCTATCTATAAATTGTATGATTGAGTTTTCATAGTTTTGTCATGAAAAAATTATCATTTTTTTATTAATTAATGACCTGTAAAATAAGTTTTAGCTGAAAAAGTAAACATATTGAGTCCATCAGTAAAAATTAAATTTAAAGAGCTACAATTTAACTTTATAACAAAATTTTTTATTCATTCTACTTTTAATTGAGATTATAAATTTTTTTTTTTTTTTTACTAAAAATATGCTCTATGAATCAAGATCAAAGATGAAAATACTTTCAGGTTATAAAATATTTACATATGATTTTTAGTTGCTAATATTTGTTAATAATTTATACAAGCATTATTAAAACAAAAAATCTTGAAAAAAAAAATTATTTTTTTGATTTTTGTGACTTACCAATTAAGATTACATTAAGAGAAAATTGTTTTTTATTTACAAGACATATATTATACACAAATATTTTATTTCTAATTTATTACTAATATTTTACATTAATCATAAGTTGTTGATTATTTTTTATTTTAGTATTACTCCATAATATGAATGATATAACCTGATCTGAGCACATTAACATTCTATTAATTTGATTGCGATTAGTGACCTCTTTTAAATATTTTCTTGTATGATATTGTATGTAATAGAAATAAAATTAGACAAGTTTATTTTTTCATATACTATTTCAGTTTAATATTTGAGTTGATAGTTGTGATATATATGTCATTAAATTTTATCGCTTATAATCAATATCAAAATAAACCTAACTGTATTTAGTTTTGAAATTCGGCTTAAGGTTAAAAATACTCAACAATCATACTCTAATAAGATCTGATAAACTGTCGATACTGTTATACATATTTATATTATTTCAAAATTGTAGTGTAACATGTTAAAGATATCTCACGAGATATTTTTATGTTGCTTAACTAAAGATAAACTTAATTAAAAATAGTTTAAAATTTTTAAACTTTCCAAAGTTATCTCAAAAAATTACCGTTCAAAATTATTTTTTCTATAATCAACCATTTGTTTTTTATGGTTTATAGAAATAAAAAACTGTAACTTGCCATCAAAAAGGCCATAGAATTAATGACAAATATGAACAATGAAAAATGTAACATATTAACAAACTCCCTAAGATTACAAAACAGCATTAATAATATACAAAACTGAAATAAATTTATAAATTCCTTTAAAAAAGTCAATTTTATTAATAGTTCAAATACAAGGTAATTAAAAAAAATGTGGGATTCAATATATATTAATAGTATACAACATACAATGTCCTACTAAGTATATACTATCTGCACAATACAAAAAATTTGGGTTTTGTATACATATACCAGCATTATGTACAATGCTCAATTTCTACTTAGACTGATATTTAAATATCACCAACTAAATATAAAGGAGAATTTTTTAGGTCAGAAATTTAAAAACTTTCAAGAAAATGGTATAAACTGATTGTTTGAGAGAAATAAAAGGAAAAAATTTTAAATTCACAAATAAATTTTTAGCTATATTCCTATATACTATGTATACTTACAAAAATAACTGTAATATACCAAGTTGTTCATTTCCTAACCATTCAAGTTTTTTTGCAACTTTCATTCTTATATCAGGAAACTCATTTAATAAATCTATATCTAATGGTGCTCTGTCAAAAATAAATAAATTTNACTCATTTAATAAATCTATATCTAATGGTGCTCTGTCAAAAATATATAAATTTTATTTTAGTACAAAATACTTGAAATATTTTAATACTTTGAAGTTATTTCATTATTAATTAAATCAAAACAGCAATTTTTTTCAAATTTGAGGTTTTTAAATTCTTATTTTCCAACTAGAAATTAAAATTCACTAGATTTAAACAATAATTATTGAATATGTTATTTACTTCCAAGCAACATTAATTTTTTCCACAACTCCAGCATATGTCCGTGAACAACGATCCCATGTTTCTAAAAGTTCTGCTACTTGGTTTTCCACAGAGTCAGACACGTACTCAATACATTCCAAAATTTCCTTTAACAATTCATACATTGTTGAACAATCCGTAAAATATCATAAATTACAAAGTGATTTGGATAAAATTATTCTAAAAATAAAATGATATAATATTATTATCAATGAAATATTAATTAATAACAATTTTCAAACAATTAAAAATTTTACTTTGACTATTCATATGACACAATATAAACGAAACTTATATATGGTTATTGAGGAAATTTTGAATGATAGTAAAAACACATTATGGAAGGATATAATATAAAGAGAGTGGATTTTTTGAACCAGCTCATTTGTAATCAAAATTATTATTAAAGATAATATTCAATTTATGTAATTCTATTAAAACTATAATTCTGTATAAAAACTTAAGGTCTTCAAAATTAATGATAAAGAAACCCGGTTTTTCTTGTAAACCAACCACAAGTAAATTTGATAAATTATTTAACAGTGCTACCAGATTTTGTAATTCCAAAAGATCCCAGAGTTTTTTTGTTTTCATTACTATTTCAAGATGTTATAACAAAGTCAATGTAAGCATAACAATGTTATGCATAAATGGATTTTTAATAAGTCTATTTTAAATTTATTTTAGAATAGTACACCACCGTTGAATCTACTTACATATAGATAATAACCAAGACTTAAAATTTTATCTTACATATTTGTAGAATTAATAATTTTTCATTTTAATTAAGCTTAATAAGTTTTACATTGAATTATCATATTTAAGAATTTTTAAATATTTAAAATATATTTAGTTAAAATTATACAAAAATATCAAAAAGGTTATGTCATTAGGGGATTTATCCCCTAATCCACCTCAAATTGAGCGTCATCGATATAATTTATAAATTTATTTAAAAAAAATTGTAAACATTTAAGAAATAAGTTTAAAGAATTTCAAGATAGCTATTATATAAAGTGAATCTTAGGAAAAAATTAGGTATCAAAATTTTTTGTTAAAGTTTTAAAGCGATGATCATTTTTATGGAAAAAATGTGCCTATGACCAATATTTAGCATACATACATAGATTCGTTTCCTTCTATTTTTTTCTTAATAACAAATATCAACAATTGTGATATCATAAAATAAACGTAAAAATTCCAATTATCACGAATTTTAAAAAGCTTTAGTAATTTATCTACAAAATATTAACAAGAAATGTTGCTTCCCAAATTTTTGATTAAAATCTGATCAACAAAATGGCGATACTAAATTTTTTTAAGCTGGTTTCTTAAATTTTAAAAAAGTATAATTTATACATGTATTATCAATATAATATATGTATTACATGTAATTATATTATAATATGTAATATTTTTAAAAATTTTTATTATATGCAGTTTGGCTGATATTTATATATATTATAAATAGAAAATAAGATGTTCACTATTCTTAAAAACCTAAACATTTTTTTATAAATAAAGCTTGAGATAAAATAAATGATATCCATGAAAATGTTAATAAATGATGGTTGATCATTAAATACTTTTCAAATATATTTTTTTTATTAAACAATTAATTTATAAATACATTTTTTAGTGTTTTCAGCTTAAGTTCTTCAAAATCATTATCTTTAATATCTTGAGTTCTAACGAGAATTTTTATTTAATATTCTGAAATAGTACTAGAGACTGGTTTAATAATAAAAAGTTCACATTCATTGTTTAAAAATTGATCTCTTACATAACAGTAGAAATATCAGACAGTATCTAATGACTCCAGAAATATAATTTTAGCTTCGATGCGAAGCTGAGAAGGTATTGGTTTTATTAAGATGTGTTTTTGAAAATGTTCCGGAAAGACTGCGTCCTTTAAACATATATCAAATTAAAGCTTATTTTATGTACTACAAAATGAAAAAAAAAAATTTGTCCCGACACTTTTTTTTCTACATTTAAACGGCTGCCGTAGTTAAAAAAACACTATTTTTGTGTTAAAATTTTCGATTTTCGATTTTAAATTTTCAACTTAAAAATGCTATAACTTTTTGAAAAATGTATATATCAGCACAA